GGGTTTGGCAAATGATTCTTTGGTCACAGAATCATGGGACATGCAGGGCTCCGCTTTGACTCCTCAAAACTGCTGTCTGTCGGGGACGTCTAGAATGCTTCAGCCTTCCCCTCCCACCCGTCCCAAACCATGCATGCATTCGCCCATTGGCAGTCAGCAGGCTGCAGACTGGCAGGATGAGTTGCCAAGGGCTCAATAAATGGATTAAAAGCAAAGAGATTTAGTATTGAGGGCTCCAAAGAGTAGAGAACAACCCAGAGCCTTTCACCCCTGCCTCAGCCCCTGGGTCTGAGACTCCTGGCTTGTGAACTGGCATTGCCCACCTGCCATAACTATGGGCCTCTGTAGCAGGTGTGCCTACAGTACTGTCTCTGCCTGCTCTGACTAACGTAATCTGCCACATAGACTGGCTGCCTCCAAGCCCCTTGTGTTTCGAGCTCTACGGGTGACTAGTGCCCGCACAGCTGATTAGGAACGAGGGTGCGACAGGCCAGAGCAGAAGTCTGAGTCGGGGACAGAGAACCAGCTGGGAGTCACGGTTGTAACAGAATCATTGTAGCACTGAGGCCTGAAAACTAACTCTTCGGTTCTCCAGGGTTTCATTAGCATTATTTACCCCGAGGGAGCTCAGGGCCAGAGGAAAGAGCAGTACATTTCCTGAGAGGGGCTTCGTTTCCATTGATGATACATTCTGAGAAAAACAAGCCTAACTGCCCTCTCTCTTCTAGCGTGTTCACCTGATAGATACGACCTTATTGTAGTGAGCACACACCCAACATGTGCCAGTAGGAACTGCCAAGCAGTGGGGAGAATAACAAAACTGGACCTCTGACCCTACACACTGACGGCGGCTCTGCTGCCCATCTTCCAGGCTGCGCTCTGGATAGTGAGTACGTAACGGGCAGCGTCGAGCCGCTGGCAGGCTTGGAGGTGGAGGGGCGGCGAGCCTGAGTCATTTAGTCAATGAAGAGGAACAAAGGAAGCCAGCTTTCAGGGCTGAGCTGGGAGCATGCAAGCGATGGCTCAGAGATAAGGCTTTGAGCGGGAGGCAAGCCGGCTGCGACCATCTCCAGTGGAGTGAGTCTCTCTCACAGCAAGGAGGGAATAAAACCAAAACACAGAGCCCTGCACTCCAGCAGCACCTAAACGTGAGGGAATTGGAGCCCTCCCAGCAGGGAATTGTGAGCCCAATCCTACTCGGGGTGGGAGGCCCCGTTAATTGAAAGTGGGAGCTGATTCCATCGTTCTCAGCTCGGCTGGGCACCTGTTCCGTTGTGACTGTCACCTTGTTTCCCCTTGTGACTGTCATTGCAGCTTTTGACTTAAAGCCAGAGGAGTTCAGGGGTTTCCGCTGTAGCTAAGATGCCATTCCCCCCACTATGGTTTCTGGCACACCAGCACCAGAGGTACGGCTCTACACTGCTTCTGAAAGCTGGTCTTTCTGTTGGTCTCCACTCCCTTCATGCACCCATGTCATGGTAATGGCAGCCACGGGAGCTCCCTTTTTGCATTGGAACTGTGCATTGGAATCCAAGCTGCTATTTAAAAATATTTCTATTTTTTGTGATTGGGGAGAAAACCTTACAATGCGACCCTGGTGTAAGCCGGTGCAGTGATGTCTGCCTGAGTTTGCAGTCAGCCTGAAACAATAGCTCAGGGAGGAGTGTATTACCCATTCACCTCATTGGGGCATTCATATGGAAAGCTAATAACTATTTTAGTGCCTGCCTTGTTAACTATTTCACTGCTGATTTTTTGGGCAGACACATCCAGCCCACGTTTTCATCCCACAATCCCAAATGGCCTTCCATATCTCCTCAGTGCCAAAACTTCCAGCTTTGCACTGACAGACTCTCTGATGCAGTTGTGTGTTGCTGATACATTGAGAACTGAAGATGGGGGGTGAGGTTAGCATAAAATAAACAAAATTTAATAGCAAAATACGTCAAACAAAGGGTCGCTGTACTGATTATATGATTCAACTTCACACCCATTCGTTAACAATTTCCATTTCTTAAGGTACCCAACTCTGCAGCAGATTCCCAGGCTGCTGCACTGCACCACTGCAGAATTCAGGGACCTTGCTAGAGAATGGAAGTCCCGCTTGCCATGCAATGTGCTGATCCTTGTTTAATGGGAATCAGGCTTGGGCATCATGAGCAATCACTGCCCTGTTGTCCCCTCAGTTAGGGAGCAGCTTCTAAACCCCCTCGGTTTTTAGGGCGCTGCTTTGCAGATATTACGAAAGAACAGGGTCAAAGCATCCTACTACGCTCAGAGCCCATTCTTTCCTCCAGCAACCTCCCAGTGACTTCAAGGGGCCTTTGTCTGAATGAAACCTGAGAAAGGATCTGGCTCATAGCCTCATTTGGCCTCTCTCTCTATTTAATCCCGACCTTTTCTTTAGCTACAAAACCAGAACAATATTCCCCGTGTACAATAATAAGCCACCTTTGTAGCTTTCAGCTGAGCTAAATTTGAACATCCATTCCGTACGCTGAGCAAGAACGGAACACAAAGCAGTGAAATGAGGTGTAAAGGTTCTCCTCCCACACATTGCAGGATTTTGTGATAAGAGGCATTTTATAATGCTCTAGCAATTTAGAAAATGTTAATTACTATCTGATTGAAATGAGCACAGGCAGGATGAAAACATTACTTTGGAGGAAGGTTCCCCCCTCCCCTGATCTGTGGGACTTTCTGTGCAATTCAAAATGATGAATGGCAGTGGATAAAAATGGAATAATCTTCACTGACTGTTCACATTAACCCCTGCCTGGAACCTCCCACCTGCACCTCCCTGGAGACTCCCTTCCTTACACTGCAGACGCCTTCAAAATCAGAGCATCTAACAGAGTACACATGACGCAGCACCTTTGCCTGACAGGACTGGCTCCCCTTGTGCCTCCTGGGCTGTAGGCTACACTGCAGTTGGCCCTGAACTACTACATGGGGGTGCACCCTGCAAAGCTTGATGCTTGTGCTCCTAGTGAGCAATGACTGGCCATGCCAACAGTAGCCTTAAAACCTTCTCTACTGGCCAGCAGCACCATGTGGGCACAGGGGGGCACCTTTTAAGGAGCATTCTACCTGCTGCTCTGACATGCATAGAAGCAGCTGACAAGGTCAGAATGCCTCTAGGGACTGCTCTGGGGCAGATGACCTCTATCCCCCTCACTTCCCACAACAGGGGCTCTAGCTGGGAGACCTCTGCATGGGTAAGCGTGACTTCACTGCCCAGCTGTGAGTGGAACAAGGCAGCTGCTCTGCACCAGCTGGTGATCCAGGGCTGTCTTAGGATAAGTGAAGAATAGCATGGGGATTTAGGGAGACAGAATACAGCTAGCCAGCTGGGATTTGGCTAAGCCTGGGGATAATGCCCCAGTCTCTAGGGAAAGATGCCATAGGATTTTTGATAAACATGAGTGGCCAGGGCCTTGGCTTTATCCCATCACAAGAGAGGACAGGCAATAGCACAGCAGTCCCTAGCACCAGAAATGGCATTGCCCCAGTGCTGACTCGAAGCTAAGACAGCTTTCGACTGAATCTCCATACCAGTGCCCAGGGTTTTCCTTGTAGGCTCCCGTCCAAACAGTGCCTAAGCAGAGCGTATGAGATTCAGGTAGTTTGATCACTCACAGCTATCAAGTTGTTCCCTCTTTATTTAAATATAGACCTGAAAAATTAATCTAATTCAGAGTCAGTCCCTATTCTCTGTAGAGTCAAGAAAGAAGGCTCCACTGGTTAAAAAAACAACCTGGCTTAGAGGGAAAGTGAAAGCAAGTGTAAAAAATAAAAATATATTGTAGTAAAGTGTTCATTAAGGGGTAATTAGGTTACTCAGAATTTTATGGGTTGGAGTCATACTCCACCTTCTCCCCTTACTTGATTTTTCAGTTTGTGTGTTTTTTCCTCCAGCTGGTTTGTACATATTAGCACTTAGCAGTCCCTTTACAAAAAAATGTGTATAACAAATGGAATAAAGTGGAATTTGATAGCAATGAATATAAATCAGAAGCTAGGAATTGTACAAAATTGAAAAGGGAAGCAAACGGATATGAGGAGACATCTATGGCCAGCAGAGAGAAGGAGTTTTTCAGGTATATTAGGAACAAAAATAATCCTAACAATGGTATTGATCTGTAACTAGATGGAAATGGTAGAATTGTCTATAATAATGCAGAAAAGGCAGAAGTGCTCAATAAATATTTCTGTTCCATATTTAGGAAAAAGCCAGATGATGTATTTGTATCATATGAAATACTTTGCATTCCAACAGTAACTAAGGCAGATGCTGGGTCTGATCTGAGCCCCAAAGACCTGGAAAAGAAGACCTGGTATATTTTGCCCCTCTATGTACCTGGAGTCAGATGCACACGTGCACTTGTGCCCTGGGGCAGGCCATACTCTTGTTTGTTATTCAAAGTATTGGGTTTTGTGCCTTGGCCCAAAAAGGCAGACAAACTCAGCTGCAGGCCTCACTGAGGTCAGACCCTCTGAGAGAAACCTTCAGATCTGTCTTCATGGCCCCATTATCAACCAAGGACAAAGTAGGCCATCTTCAACATCCCAGCCCCATAAGAACAGCAGCAGTTGTTGGTAGGCAGACCTTCATTTTATATCTGTATGTTACTACATGAGTATTATACACAGTCTATATCAATAGACACGCACACAGAGTGGTCGTTAAAAGTCAGCATGGACCCCCAGCATGGACCCCCACTTGTCTCTTATTCTAAGTACATGGAATACTGGTATCTCTGAGACCACAGTGTGGGAACTGTTCACAAATGTCCTTTTTCTTGGTAAGCACTTTTGGCTTTTTAGGCATCTAGTAAAATGTCCTTAAACAGTGTTCAATTATCATTGGGTTTGGTGATTTTTTGTTTGTTTGTTTTAATTCTCCCTCAACTGATCTGGCTCATAATTCTTTTTAGCTTTTTGAAATTGGCCCTTTTAAAGCACCAAGTATATATTACTGATCTGGATTTTATTCTGTTGGCACTTAATAAATGGGATCAAGTCATTATCACTTTTACCTAAGTTAGCAGAATTTTAGTTCTCTGATCAATTTCTCTTTAGCTATCAACATTAGGTCTATACATAATTCTCTCGAGTTTGATGCAACCCTTTTTGAGTTAGGAAATTATCATCTAAAATTTTTTGAAATCCCAAGGAGATTTTAGTACTGGCAGCGTGAGACCTCCAGCGTGTGTCACTCAGACTGAAGTCCCCATGATCACACAGCTTTTTCCCTACACATTTATACATAGTTCTGTAAGGAGGTGGTCACCTCTAGAAGATACCATCTAGTACCCCCACCTTGTGCTTTATCTGTTAAGACAGTGATCCATAAGCATTCTAGATAATAACATAAGAATCGCCATATTGGGTCAGACCAAAGGTCCATCTAGCCCAGTATCCTGTCTTCTGACAGTGGCCAATGCCAGGTGCCCCAGATCACTTGTTTCTGAACTGTCAGTGACTTGGAAACAGGTAATGCTACTTTGGACATAGAGTGCCACTCCCCCGCCCCTTTTGCCCACTCAATGCTGCCTAAATAGATTGTAAGCAAACATTCTACAAGGTTATGCAGTGGCCACCTAGGAGCAGAAGGTAGCAGATATGCCACATACATTGTGCTGTGCATCTGGATACACTAGTTCTTAACTAATCTGGTGTTTGGTTACTGTAGCTACCTCATGAAGGAAGCCAGTGATTCCTATGAAGTGTCACCATACCTGGTTGAAGTTATCCAGAGCCTTGTGCAGGTTGGCATGCATCCCAGTTGGAGGTTCGTTGGTGATTTTGATGGAGTTCTCCAGGATGCCCTGGGGGATGATGTGGCCATCAGGTGAAGGAGCAGGCTCTGCACTAATGAAGACGCGGAACTCCTCGTGGCTGCCTTCACTGTGCTGCTCAAGTTTTTTCTCCAGAGAACTCAGCCACTTGGCCACCAGATGGATGTTCTAGTATGGAGAAATGGGACAATACTTTGTCAACTGCTGGCATTTACATCTGGAGTGAGCATACATCAAATATAGCATCAAGATGAGGTCAAGGAGTCCCCTCACGCTCCAGAAGTCAGTACCTTTCCTAATAGAGAATGTAATTCATAACCGTGGAAATACAGTGGGCTTAAGGCCTGAGATTTTACACATTCTAAAATTAAAAATAATCAAGACAAAGAACTAGTGATTGGAGAAACAGCTCTCAGACTGTTTGTTTTCTTAGGCACGGTAGTCTTCTGTTTGTTACATTAATGTATGGCTGTCGAAGCCGCATTATTTCTCAGAAAAGGGAAAGTTTCCTTAGACAGCTGCAGTGAAACTGTTTGATAATTTTTAGTAAAATAATTCACGCTCAGTATCAATAGATGTCCGTTCCCAGGAAACCAAGTTTAACAGGCTGTTTTACAAAGGCCTTTTCAGCATCACAACCTCCAAAGCTTTGTTTATTCATACAACTGGGCTTCTAATGAGAATGGGCTTCTAGCGCCCATCAGTAAATTAACACACACACACACACACACTCGTTCAGGGTTACACAGAGGTGGGACTTTGGTGGAAACCCTCTAGTGTTTCCCCAGCCTAGTGTCCCACACAGCTGACCATTCTACTGATGTGACAGGAAATGGGCCTTTCTCCTGAGAGAATCAGGAGGAGGCAGGGCACAGACACCTGGGGATTGTGGGTAAAAATGATCTGGCAGCATGACTCGCCTTTCCCCAGTTATTTATTAGTTGAGGATGACAAATACTGGAATATGCCTGGATAAATTCTGGAGGCCTAGGACTGACCCAGACCCTTTAGTTGAGGGGCACATAAGGTGGATACAAACACAGGTGCCATAGAAACTGACAATCCATCAAGATGATCAACACCACCTAGAACACAGAAACCAAAAAGAGAGGAAATCTTACACAGAAGTTAATGGGGATAAGAAGTAAAGATGCTTTGGGAGGATGTGACCACTGCTGCTCCAGCCTCCATTTCTGGTCCCTCTTGTGAGACACTGATGGAGAGGTTGCGGCCAGGAGCAGAAGAGAAGATGAACAGCAGTGTTGGTTTGTTTGTTTGTTCCACAGGAAAGGAGGGAAGCCTGAGACAGTATGATAACAGCCGGGATCACAGTTAGTACTTTTGCCCAGGAATCTGGTTCAGGGATGACCTAGCACTGAGGGACAGAACCTGATATGAGGCAGGAAGGACTGGCTACATTATCCACAGGCTGCAGGTGGCACATTGAAGAGAAGGCAGAGTGTGCTAGGTTATATATGGAAACAGGGCTGTGCAGTGTGCTGAGCTGGGCCAGTGATTGTGCCCTTTCCAGCTTGCCATGTCATGACTTTGCATTTAGGGGCAAAGGTCCTGTGTGTAAGTACAGATTTCTCTCCTGATATTGTACAATAGTTGCCATTAAAAGTCAGCATTTACCCAGGGCATCTGAGATACTGCAGTTATTTCGCATTGATGTACAAGGTACCTATTGGCAAAGGTTGACCCCTAATGGAGACCACAGTCTATATACAGCTGATTCCAGAGAGTGAAAGGGGACACAGAAGCAAGGCTCCCTCCAACCTTGCTGATTAACTCAGTTAGAATACACATTTGCTATGCCCAGAAACCACGCCCTGAACCAGTTATCTTGCTAGTATCAGAAAATAGGAGCCATATTCTGTTCTGGTGGTACCTGGGATAGCTCCACAGACTTCAGAGTAGCTTTATGGATTTGCATCTTGCTGTGTGAGAACCAGATATTCAAAAGTATTTAGGCACCCAAAGATAGGCACCTGGTGGGACTGTCAGAAATGCCTATGGAGGTTGGGCATGTAACTCCACGGATTTCAATAGACATGTCCACCAGACATGTTTGAAAATCACACCAAGTTCCAATCTGCATTTGTAGGCACCTAAATACCTTTGAAAATCTGGCCCTGAGTGTCTAATTACTTCCCAAGTCTAGTGCTACCTGCAGCATGCTTTGCCTGCAGTTCAGCGTGGAATGTGCCACAGCAAAGCCACAGGGACTGTTTAAAATATCAGGAGGCGGGGGGGCAGGGGGAGGTGCAAAGAGGGAGGCAAAATGCAGAGAACACAGCAAAACCCATGGGGGCTGTGTTTAAATGGATAACAAGTCAATGGGTCTCTGTTTCTTTGACCCAGGCACCCTACTTTTCAAATGCAAAGATCACTATCCTTGCAGCGTGGGGCTCTTCGTAGAAGGCATTCATCCAGGAGCTGGGACTGAATTCTCTCTTGGCAGGCAGCTAGCGATGATGGTGCACTTCAGTCCAGTTTGCAAGGCAGCTAGTGTGCGTATTGTGTTTTTTATGTTAGGTAGATCTTTACTGAGGCCTGTTATCCTACATACAAGGCAGTGTTTGCTCAATACAAAATGACACACAAAAATCTACATTAAAATGTTATATTAAAGCTCCAAAGCCATGTACTCGGAAGCTAGGAAATGCCAGCATTTAGGCTGTCCATGGAACTTTAATTTGGCCCCCGTGTGCATATGCATCACAATGCAATCTATGATTATATGATCACATGATTTTTTTTCACAGGACCTCTGCTGGAGCCTAGTCTGGGCCAGAACTGAGATTTATGAATAAGTATGCAGCTTCCGCAGTGGTGGCACTTCAGGAATGCATGTAGTACTAAAGAGAAGAATAATTGTCCAAGGAATGAACAGACACTGGATGGAGAGGTTAGATACTTCTCTCCCACGGGAAGTGGCTTGCATGCCTCAGTTCCAATCAAATGGTACCCCAGAAGGAGAGGGTGCGGGTGTGGCTTTTGTTCATGTTGACAGGATGCAAGGTTTCTAGTTTAGAGCTTAAATAAATAAAATAATAAATAAATAAAATCACAGCTTTCCTTTCCTTTAATGATTTGGGAGCATGCTAGTATTAAGTGGAGCAGGAGGGAATCATGGATCCTGAGGGGTCCTTTCTGTTGTAAAATATAACAGTGAGAAAAACAGCAGACAAAATGCAATTATACCCTGAGTGTTAATGCAGCAATTCTTTCCCACTGCAGTCAGGGCTAGAAATGGCAAGGAAATCCCACAGAGTCCAGGCAATCAACCTGCTCTAATATCACTAGTCCAATAACAAAACAAGAATTGAGAGACATACACAACCAGCCATAAAGAGCTAACATTTTATGGATAAAGCTCAACACCAACAACAAAAATATTGTGCCTTAAGTATCAGAATATATGGAGAATACTTTATGAGGATTTTCATCTTTAAATGACAATTTTTTTTTCTACATCCTTTTTTTTTACGGAATCATGTGGTTGAAAAAAATCTTTTGATTCAACTTGTGTTGATGTGATGCTACTGAATAATACTTGCTGGTATTGCTAGCCTTCTGAAGATTGATGCAAAGAGCATTTCTGATCTGCTGGCTAATGGAGGGTCAGTGCTGGGGAAAACAACTCCAGACATTCTATTTATGCTTTATTCCTTTTTTATATATAACTATTACAATTTAAATAGAGTGAAGGGGGGAAAAGGAAAACAGATAGTATGCAATTTGTTGGCATTAAGGATTTATGGCCTTGGTCAGATGAACAGTCCCTCAAAGGAAAGAAGTAAATAAGAAAATGGGGCAAATTTTCATAGAAAAAAAGGACTGTAATATTGTGAAGATGATTTATAACTCCGAGGGGAACTCTGCAAATTGCTCCACTGCATGAGCCTTTCCCGCCAGCCAAACAACATTTTCCACCACACCTCTGAAAGCGTATGTTGCACCAGTTTTCTATCTTTTTCGCTTCCACAAATTAACTCTGGAGGCCCCACAGTAAATGGGGTTAAATAGTCATGTGATTGCTTTCCCACATATTTTTCTATGCCAGATTTTGAAGCCTGTGACAGAGCCCTTGTGTGAGTCAGGTCTGGATAAGTGCACATCAGTAGGCATTGGAAAGCACCTCTGAATCCCCCATATATTTACAGCTAACACTTGTGCTAGGCTGCGTGCAGAGGGATGCAAATCTCGCAGGCTGTGTGTGCGGATTTGTCTCAAGTGGAAGTGAAATTGAAGTTTCAAGTGAATTTTTCCTTATTGTTTGTTTAGCTAGCCAGATCTTGCAGCTGGATCCATGCAGAAAGGCCAGCACCTGCTCCAAGCCCTGGTGAAGTCAAACTACTGGAAAGGCAGAAAAAAAGGAAGCTAAAGAGAGAATTGACACAAATTTACCCCTGCAGTAACGTCACTACTTTTGCAATTAAATGACCATTTGTTCTACAGAGTGTGTGTGAACCAGAGCGAGTGTGCCTGTGTGAATGAGTAAACCTGAGTGTGCATGTGCAACATTGGAGTGCTTCTTCAGCCATATACTTGAAAGCAGGTTTACTCTGACAGAGGATGTATATCACACGATGCTGGGGTTGCCATAGTAATGATCAGAAATAGTAACACATACAAACCAGCATTTACTTCAGAATTATGGAGATATACCTATCTCATAGAACTGGAAGGGACCCTGAAAGGTCATCGAGTCCAGCCCCCTGCCTTCACTAGCAGGACCAAGTACTCATTTTGCCCCAGATTCCTAAGTGGCCCCCTCAGGGATTGAACTCACAACCCTGGGTTTAGCAGGCCAATGCTCAAACCACTGAGAATTCATTCCCTTCATATACAGTGTGAGAGTGTGTGGAGCCCCTTCACATTTTGGAGAGTGCTGGGAATTTCTGCTTCATGCCTTATCCCAAATTGCCTTCCAAAGTAATGACAATTAGCCATTTTTACAAGGTCTGATCGTCTCAAGAAACACATGGTGAAAACCATCACTCAGTGTACAGTAAATCTGAGAACTAGGCTAGACAATGAGAACCCCTAGCATACAGTCCAGGGAAGGCTCCCTTCATCAGTTAAAGATGGTTACCTACCTGTACTGTAACTGTTGTTCTTCAAGGTGTGGATGCAGACATGTATTCCACTCAGGTGTGTGT